ACTATACGCGGGAAGTTATGGTGATGCTTGTGCGCGAGTTCGAAACAAATGACGAAGAAATGAAAAAGATCGTCTTGAGAGTGGTCAAGCAGTGTGTAGCAACAGAAGGTGTAGAGGGTGAATACATCCGCACAGATATCATTCCCCCGTTCTTCTCAAAGATGTGGCTCGTTAGAAACGCCTTAGATCGCCGTACAGCCAAATTGCTGACAGAAACAGCAACTGAGTTGGCGTCAAAGGCTGGGGGGGCACATGTGATTAAGTTTATTGTTGATGATCTGAAAGACCCCAGCGAGCCGTTTAGAAGAGTTACACTGGAAACGATTGAGCAGATAATTGTGAACGGCGGTGTTGCAGACATCGATGGTAGACTGGAAGAGCAGTTGATTGATGGGCTGTTATACGCGTTTCAAGAGCAAACCACTGAGGAAACTGTGGTGCTGTTAAACGGATTTTCAACAATTGTGAACGCCCTGGGCACCCGTGTAAAGCCCTATCTGCCTCAGATTTGTGGTGTTATTCGATGGAGGCTGAATACTCCATCAGCGAAACTGCGACAACAGGCAGCAGATCTGGTGTCACGCATTGCCACTGTTATGTTCAAGAGCGGTGAGGAGCAGATGTTGGGGCACTTGGGTTTGTTCTTGTACGAATACTTAGGGGAGGAGTACCCAGATGTGTTGGGAAGCATTCTTTGCGCCCTAAAAGCCATCGTGAATGTTATTGGAATGAATAAAATGACGCCTCCTATCAAGGACTTGCTGCCGCGTCTGACGCCGATTCTCAAGAACAGACATGAGAAAGTACAGGAGAACCTTATTGACCTCATTGGTCGTATTGCAGATCGTGGAGGCGACTTGGTTTCGCCGAAGGAATGGGACAGAATTTGTTTTGATCTTTTAGATTTACTGCGGGCGCAGAAAAAGAGTATTCGAAGAGCCACTGTGAACACCTTCGGGTATATCGCCAGAACCATCGGGCCTCAGGACGTGCTGGCCACTCTCCTCAACAATTTGAAAATGCAAGAACGCCAGCTGCGTCTTT